TAGACTTGAGATTGAAGTAGTTACATTGGTAACCAGACATTTGAAGTGAACTGAGAACAACAGAGCTGGTATTGAACCGGTTGCAGCTGGTGTGAAGCCATTAGAATCGACCAATCATCCCACTTGGTACCCTGACCAAAGGATTCTGCTAGCGAGAACCACTGATCGACCGGTACACAGGCTGGTGGCAGTGACTAAGAGTCAATCCCAAAATGCTGGTAGGAGAAATATCACAGTTTCCCGCTGTGACAGGGAGTTGACCACAGGCCGACATCTCAGTGTCACAAGTGTTCTTTCTGGTTTCTATAGGATAATTTTTTTTTTTAAATTTGGTTTTGAAAAATCAAATTAAAAGGCTAATATTATAATATGAATTTATAAGTTTCAAAAGTTCAAAAATAGGTTTTATTTTATTCTTGGTAAACAAATAGAACTGCTTGTAATTCCCACAAATATTATTGCTAAAAAAAGAAACTCCTTGACAGAGGTATTCAGAAAGCTACTTGAGTAATCAGGAAATTTGACTTTACACTTGCTAAATGAGGAAAAACATTTTGTGGGGGTATTCAAATATTCCACAATACTAATGAAGGGTTAATTTAGGTTTCATCTGAATTAAATTAATCAGAATTCTCTGATTAGATTTATAAAATTTTGCAAGATCTGCTTACTCCAAAAGTTGTCATGGCTGTGCCTGTTTAGACATGATAGTGGATAGCTAGAATGATGAGATTATATTTATCTTGGCTCATTAATCCCTAATAATTAACAAGCTGCTCTCTGGGTCATGAGTTGTGTTTGCTCTTCTAAATACTAAAGTGGTATTTACTTTTTCTTAAGAAGGATTTAGAAAGTAAGGGACCTGTTAATGCCAGTAAAAATGGAATAGTTTTCTTGGAAAGAAATGTAGATGTTTTTCCAACAGCTGCAGTAGGTTGCATGTCTTGTAACATTGTGGGCATAGAATAAGGAAGAATAATTTAAAATTAAGGATAAGAAAAAAATTGTTTAACAAATAAACAACAATACAAGTTGTTGGAAATGTATCATATTTCTGAAATATGATTTATTTGACAGGGTCAGTTGATGGTAACAAGTCCAACAAGAAAAAACATAAAAATCAGGCTGTGGCAAGGTCTTTTTATTGGTCCGTGAATTGGCTAATGAGCATTGAGCAAGAAGTCAAGATTTCTTGCTAAAAAAAATTCTTTAGTGAGGTCTTTGACTTGATATTTTATTTATGGTAACTGGATTTTTTACATTTGCAATTCAATACTGTGCATCTGAAAAATGTCACATTTATTGTGTTTGCCATGCATCTTGGCCTTTTGGCTAAGATTAAAGCAGTATCTGTTCTTATCAGCTTAATCTGACTCTCTCACTCCCCAACTCTATCTTCCTGTCTTTCTTTCTTTCATTTTCTCACTGAAAGCAAGTAGTGTTTTTCCTCTCTTTTCATGTGATCAAAACAGATTGGCCATTATTTATGAGGTATTTGACAGGGAGTAAACTAATGAAGGAAGCAAAGCAAACCTTCCACCTGGTAAAAAATAACTTTTGACTTTCAGTGGGAAATCGATGCGTTAAAACTTTTGTGGTATTCACCTGGAGACAGCTGATATGATCCACTGCAAAGTGATGACTATAATTCGCCAAACATCAGTTCAAATCACAGAGGAAGTAGTGACAATGCGACAAACTAACACAATTAAAAAATTTCAGTCATTGCACATTTTTACAGGTCGACACATCCCAATGAATGGCCCATGGAGAAGCAATTAAATATCATCAGAAATCTTGTCAGGTAAGTCTGTCCATATGCAGGAAAGAGAAACAGTTGAAACACAGAGTGAGAATATTATTATTTAAATCATTTTATCTGTATAAATAAAAGAAAATTAAAATAAATATTCTCACTTTGATGGTTTTGACTGTAAATGACTGAAACAGGAAAATTACATTAGGGAGGAGGAAATCAATGATCAACAACTCTAGACTGACATGTTATGACTTTTTTCTCTCTCTCTCAAAAACTGGTTTACTTTAATGTGGACACAATGCAAAAAAAAAAAAAAAAAAAAAAATGATCTTTTTATGCATCTGACATATCCATGAGATGATGCAAAACTGAGCCACACACATGCAATTTCAACATGATTATAAATCTGTTGGAATATACATATTAATTTAGATTTTAATAACACTGTTGTCCTTGCTTCAATGAAGGTTGATAATTTCTGAAGCTTATCACAAGAACATTTTTTAAATATTTGTAATTTAATTTTAACTTTTTTTTACTATATTTTAAATATACTTTTTGGTTTAATTTTTCTGTATTTGTTTTATATATATATATATGGCATATGTCAGTCTCAAGAGATCATGGATCTGCATCCAAAGTGTTATCTCTCAGCTGCTGATTGCAACACAGCATCTGTTATGGCTATACAGAATAAACACATATGCAAGGTTCAAAAAATTTTATAAGCCAACCAAGTATATACATGAATACAATATGGGAACTAGTAATACATTGTACTAGAGAAAAATGATAATAACAAGAAATTACAATATGAGCTCTGGTAAAGAATGGTTACTGAGACATTAAGTTTATAAATCCCCAAAATTCATTTACTGATGCTGCAAGTCATAATAAAATAAAGGGTTTAGTTCAAAATTCCAATGTATATCACCTGAAGAAGGTCGAGATGTGCAATAGTTCATGAAGTGACTAATCAACAACTGATTAGAACTTGGTGGATATGACAACAGTCCATATGAGGACAACAGTCCAAACAATGTAAATAGTGTAAATAGTTACAATACCTCATCCCAGAAATATAGACAGATATAAATATATGATTGAAATTGGTTATATTTATGTAGGAAGAGTGCTTAATATTTATAAATATGGATAGAACATGGATAGTCACCATACAGCATTGATTCTAATGTCCACACTATCTATATATATGAGAGAGAGAAAATGTTAAAAATAATTTTAGAAGGTTCACAGGCACACCATTTTTAAGACAGAAATTTTAAAGTCTTTGTTCTGCCTCCCGGTATGCGTAAATCTCACACATGTTGGATACTCCAGACAGACAGATAAATGGCTTAAAACACTCAAAACTCTTGTTCATCAGGAGGTTTATTGAAAGCTAAAAGGGTAAAATCAGAAAAAGAAATAAATACAAAAATAATAGGCAGGGAAAGAAGAAATGTAACAAAGATGACAAAAACTGAACAGAATTGAAACTGAGGGTCTTAATGGGCAAAAAATGTAGCAAGTAATTTGCTACAGGAATACATTACAATGTTTCAGTGTAAGTTCTCAGAAAGGAAGAAAGTTACAGTATGAGAACAGTGCATAAAAAGGTTAACACATGGTGAAAGGGGTTCTACATGGAAAAATACAGCAATAAAATAAATGTATAAAAATTGGCTAGCTTGTCGTTGGTGTATGATCAAGGAAGATGAGAAAGAAGGAACCACATGCTTTAAGTCTGTGGTTTACTATGCCAGTTCTGGTAAGGGTTAACTAAGGGTTAACAGGAAGTGGTTAAAACGGTGACAATTTAAAAATGTAAAAAAAAAAAAAAAAAGAAGGATACTAACAAAAAAAGGGGATGTAAAACAATAGAGGTGTTGTACTGTAGTAACAGAAGAGTATTAATTATATAATATTGTGGTGTAGAATAAAAGAGAATAATTTAAGGTTAAAGTTTAAGAAAAAAGAGCTGACTAATAAACAGCTACACAGGTTACTGGAAATGTATTTCTGAAATATGATATATTTGACAGGGTCAGGTAACAGTCACAAGTTTCACAAGTCAAAGGGAAAAGAAGCAGAATGTGGTGGGATCTTTTCGTTGGTTCATGAATTGACTAATCAACAACTAATTAGAAGGTGAGATTTCTTGGCAAAAAAAGAAGTAGAAAAGGTGTTCTATAGAGTGAGTGGCCATGGTTAAATGTAAATAAATGGCAGAACTGTTCAACAAACAGAATTGACAAAGTTTGCAATAAACAACAAGAAAAAAAGAACAGGGCAAAAAATAATATAAAGCAAGCAAATAATATATACAAGGCAAAGCAACAGTAATATAGCAAAAAGTTCACAAACTAAGAATTAGAGCTGACACATGAGAGAAAATTTTGATAAGCAAATGTAGCATTCTGACTTCAAGACAAGACAGATTGGAACTGAGTCATATGAAACCGAGAACTGGCCTATTTTATTGATTAGGAAGAAATCCAAGCATGCATTTGTGTGCTTGTGTATAAATTGGGGAGGGAAAAATATTTTGTAATCATTTCCATTAAGATTCTTCAGTGAGTTTTTTGGCTTGTTAGTGAGAAAATGGGGAATTTATCTCACTCACTGTACCCTCTCCATCACTAACAAGTAGTCATCAATATTTCCTTGCTGGAGGCAATAAAATTGGCTGATATAGACCCCATTGTTGTGTGACATTTATTATTACAAGAAAACCTTTCAGCAAGTGAAAAGATGATATTTCACTTTCACTGAAAAATCAAGACAGTTTAACTAAGGAACAAGTTTATTTTGCTGAACACTAATCAAAGCCACATAGCATGTTGTGATAATGCAACACATAAAAATATTAAAATAGGATTCATATGAAAATGTAACTAATTCAAATTCATGAACAGAAAATAGATACTATGTTTTGATTATGAATTAAAACATGGAGATGAAAAATGAAGTTTTTTTTTATTGATTCATTCATTTTCTATGGCTTATCAATCCTTTACAGGTTATTTTAAGCTAGAAAATGTTTTAGATTGTAAGTTTTGAGGTAACAATGGTTTAGTGATACACGTCTTACTAATACCCTGGGGGGAGAAGACTTGAATTCATACCTTTCCCAAGTGTATTTGCATGTAAGTGAATATAATGAACCCAAGATGAATTGGAAGTCATCTCTCCAATTAACAATTACAAGCCATTAACCATTACACCAATTTCCAAGCGTATAGCACCAGGTATTCCCAAGCGGTTACCCATCTAGGCACTGACCATGCTCAATGTTGCATAACTTCTGTGATCATACAGGAACCAGTGTTTCAATGTAAGCCCTTGGAAAATGAAGGACTGTTTCTCAAAGACATTAAGTTTAGTAAAGCAGTAGAATGTGTGAACTGAAAAATTTGTTTATTTTCAAGAGATGAGAAAATAAACAGTAACAAAACTGTTATAAAATATATAAATTTTCATTCAAACTTAAATTGTAGAGAGAATTATTATTATTATGTACTTCTAAAATATGATAACAGACTTTAGCAATTAGAGTCACTCCTTCAACTTTTTCATTTCATTGTTTTTCACTCTTTGCTTAGCTGCCTATGATATTTTATAAAGTGTCAACACCAATAATAAGAATATCATATGCTCTGATTAAAAAATATAAGAGAAAGTCAAAATTAAACTGATATAAATAGTCCTTACCCCAAAATAGTCTAGCAATTACTCTTATTTAAAACTGTCTCTCACACATAATTGCTTATATTACATAACTTAAATATTTTTACATACATGCATACATTCTTCTCATCTGTAAATGTACAAGCTCCACAGACATTAAAGACACAGAATAACAAACTCTGAGAATTCTTCTAATCTTCAATGTGTTTGTGTCAAGCAGTATGGAACATTTTATGACAAGCTCTTATGACAATCCTAAACAAAACATTTTACTGTTTTACTTTCCCATACAATTTCAATACAAAACATTAAATCTGTCTTATTCAAACAATGATCATGTTTTGCTGGAAAATTTTAAATCCTCTTGGTATGTATCCTGTTCTAAATTTAGAAACAATCTCCCAAAATAAAAAAATAGATGTGAGGTCATTAAGGATTATTTACCATAAAATAAAACTCACCAACAAAACAGAATTATTTTTAGCTTGTGTCCCTTAGGCTAATAAAACATCTATTTTTATCTTGTGAGTGTTACTGATGTCATTTCCAGAAAGTGTATGCCACCAAAGCGTATACATTTTGTAAAGAAATATTTAAATACAGGCCTGAATCTGTTTACGAATAATATTATATTTTTGAAAAGCTTTTATATTTTCTTTGTTTATTTGGACTTAGTAATCTCATTAAAATGTTAGATAACATCTTAAAAACATTTAAAAGGAAATTTACTACCGTGTAGAAAATGCCATGAAAAAAATTATTCAAAAGTATACATAACACAAAACAATATCAAATTTAATAATGTGGTTATTCATGAGTAAAAGGCAGACTGAAATATAAATGTGTGTATGTGTGTACACATTATCCATAAAGAATGTAAATGTAACAATCAGGAGATGCATACTTACTTATAATTAATATTTATTAACAAGGAGAAAAATGTGATTTTCTTAATATTTCAATGTTTATATTTCATTTGTTTCTTGTTTCAAAAGTAATTTGGTTAAATGAAATCATTGCTTTTGTTGGTGAGTGTTCAAACTCTTAAAATGATAATGAAACATATCAAAATTACATCTTCATTTAAATTGATAATGTTTTATGAAATTTAAACTATATATATATATATATATATATATATATACACACACACAGAGAGTAGACCAAAAGTAGGTGGACAGTAGGTGGAATAAGTCAGTGTATCAGTTATATCGTTACAATGGTGTTCATTATAACTATGGTATTTGCAGTATATTATTTTAAATTTTATAACTAAATTTATCTAATTTCTTTTTCAGATAATTGTATTAGTAAATATAATTGTATATGTAACCTCAAACAAATTTTATCATTTACTGTCCACCTACTTTTGGACCACTCTGTGTGTGTGTGTATATATATATATATATATATATATATATATATACTTTACAAATGGAATTAAGATACCTTTAGTTAATGACCATTTCACCTACAAATTTTGTAGTGGAATACTGGTTATCACTACAACTTACAACTAACCAGTATCCCACTACAAACTTATACTATAAACAGTTTGAAAATTCCTGCAAATTTTAAAATTAAAATTTGTAGGTGAAAATGGTCATTAACTAAAGGTATCTTAATTCCAATTGTAAAGAAAATTTGCTCTGTTTAATGGAAATAAACATCCATTGAGAGCTCTTTTGTGAGTCAGTTTTAACATATTTCAAATTCTAAACTGTGTTAATAGGACTCGCCTGGACTATACCAATGGATTACTACCTGTGTGTGTGTGTGTGTGTGTTTGTGTGTGTATATATATATATATATATATATATATATATATAAAGTACAAGTTAGTCATATAGCTGATTGATATTATCTTCAGCATCCAGACTTCAGTTTTGTAGATGGAACTGTCTGTCCACATTTTTGGGTGGCATCGGCAATTTTTTCTAGATTTTTGCGTGCATTTGCACATGTGTAACCATGTATCCATCTGTGCAGATGTGTGTTAGTGTGTGTGTACCCATCTGTGAGGACGTGCATATGTGTTGGGTGTTGTGATT